GACCACATTAGACTGACAGGTTTGAAGTTCAGGCGACTAACATCTTCATGATCTCAGCTGCACTTGTACGACTTACTGAGAACAGGTTGTGAAATGCCTTCACTAAGAGGAGTAAGAACCGAGGCCATCCCACCACTTCCTGTTGCTTTGTGTGACATCTAGCGAAGTCCGTTTGCCATAAAAGCGGCATCGCTGAGGCCAGTGGGCCAGACAGGACCCAGGATCATGTCCGTGGTTCTTCCAACTCTGCTCTGTCTGGGTGAGTCTGGAGGGAAGGCCCGGGGGGCAATGCTACAGGGGCAGGTGGGTGGTTCCAGAGGCTGGACTCTTGTCCAATATAAGTAAATAACGGAAACAGAAACAGACTCACAGACACAGAGAACAGACTGATGGCTGCCGGAGGGAGGGGTTTGGGAGCTGGGTGAAAATGTGAAGGAGTTGAGAAGGACAGATGGGCAGTTACAGAACAGTCACGGGGATGTGAAGTACAGCACAGGAAACATGGGCCATAAAATTGTAATAACCATGGATGGGGCCAGGCGGGTGCAGGAAATATCAGGGGGAAGCACTTTATAAAGCATACGATTGTCTAGCCACTAGGTTGTATACTCAAAACTAATGCAAAATAATATTAAATGTAAACTGCAAATTGAAAAAACATTTTTTTAAGACTGGGCTGTTCTCACCTGTGTTTCCTTCCAGGGCTGTATCTAGCCCAGGGCACTCGGGCTCAGGACGGTGAGTGTCTTTTCAATACTCAAGGACTGAGTAGGGTTTGGCCAGATGCCAGCTCTCTCGGTGGCTGGGAAGAGGGGTCTTGGCACTTAAACCCGTGGCTGCAAGAGAGGAGGAGGTGGAGAATGGCACCAACACCAGTAAATGTATCACCTGTTCTTCTAGGACGACTCCCCCCACCGGTTATCACAGCTCGGCCTGCATCCGTGGTTCTGTCTAAAAGCCCTGTGACCATCCTGTGCCAGGGGCCTCCAGACGCTGAAGCATATGAGATATTCAAAGAGAAAGGACCTGAGCCGAGGAACAGGCTGGAATTCCAGGTGGCCGGGAAGACCCGCACTTTAAATTTCCAAGAGATGAGACCAGACCTGACAGGACTGTACAGCTGTTCCTACAGGAGGGGAGAACACCAGTCCCTGCTCAGTGCCCCCCTGCCCCTGGTGATGACTGGTGAGTGGCACACGGGCAGCAGGGCCAGGGCACCTCTTGGCAGAGGAGAGAACCAGGATCTGAGATGAGAAGCTCCAGGCAGCAAAGCCTCCGTCTCTAGGAAGGAATCGGGGAGGGTGCAGGGACGGATGCCCTCCGGGCGGGACACCCAGGGAGAGAAACCAGAGCCAGGGCTGCTCCCCGGGACCAGGAGGACAGTGCACGTGTGTGGCCCCCCCTTTCTCACTAAACTTCCTTGTCTCTCAGGAGCTTATGACAAACCCTCACTCTCGAGCACGAACGGCACCATGGTGGCTTCGGGAGACAATGTGGACTTACAGTGTTTCTCCAAGGCCAAGTTTCAAGCATTTCTTCTCACCAGAGACGATGCACCTCACCCCACCCAGAGACAAAGCTCCACCCCCCAGGACAATGGACGTCAGGCCACCTTCCACCTGGATCATGTCTCCCCCACTCAGGCAGGGGCCTATAGATGCTACGGTGTCTTCACCAATGAGCCCTACCTGTGGTCTCACCCCAGCGACCCATTGGAGCTTGTGGTCACAGGTGAGGGGCCCCGTCCGTCCCCAGCCTCCCTCCTGAAGTTGAGGATGTCCAGTGAGAGGGACGCCTGGGAGAAAGGGGGGAGCAGGCTGGGGAAGCGGAGTCAGCTCCCTCACCCTCACCCCCAGGCAGCCCTCCCACCCCACGCTCAGCGCCCGGTGAGCGCACGTCGGTCATCACGAGCCTGGGGAGCGAGAGCCTGAGACAAACCACAGAAACCACCCGCATTTCAGGCCCGTGTGCAGACCCTCCCGAGGAACCCGCACCCACGGAGCCCCGACATCCACATGGTGAGCCCCTGGTTGTGTGGAAAGTAGAAAGCACACGTTCCCTTGTCTCTTCTCTCAGACTCGCAGTAGAAATGTCATTTACCAGGGACAGAGACACTCAATCTATATAGGGTCCCCCCAAAATGTGTACACACTTTAACAGCTGATAGCTCAAGTTTGAAAACGAAATGTATTTTAGTAGACACGGCCTTCGTAATTAACGTGTGTGCATCCATTTCGGGGGACACCCTGTGTATACAGGGGTGGGCAAAAGTAGGTTTACAGGTTTGGATTATTACAATCGTTTTATTAACTGAACAGAAAGTCGCAATGCAACTGCAAACCTACTTTTGCCCACCCTGCGTGTGCATGTGTGTGTGCGTGTGTGTGTGCGTGTGTGTGTANGGTTTACAGGTTTGGATTATTACAATCGTTTTATTAACTGAACAGAAAGTCGCAATGCAACTGCAAACCTACTTTTGCCCACCCTGCGTGTGCATGTGTGTGTGCGTGTGTGTGTGTGTGGGTGTGTGTGTGTAACACATAGACACAAACAACAGTGTGACAGCCTTTTACTGAGTTGTACGCTTGAAACCTGTGTGGTTTTTGTGAACCAATGTCCCCCCCAATAAATTCAATTAATTAAATAAATAATAAATAAAGGCGGGGAAGGAAAGAAAGGCCCTGGCCGGTGTGGCTCCGCCGGCCGGAGCGCCGTCCCGTTCACCAGAAGGTGGCAGGTTCGATTCCCGGCCGGGGCGCACACCCAGGTGGCAGGTTCGAACCCAGGACCCTTCAGTCCAAGGGCTGGAGCTCTAACCACTGAGGAACCGGCCAGGGCAGCTCCGGATCCATTTTAAAGTGGCTCCGTTGACACGGTGGTTCACAGGGCGGACAATCCGGGACCGTGCTGGGGTCTGGGCGAGGGCCCGGCCCCCGCCCTGGGTGAAGGCGGCTCCTATTCTCTTTCCTCCCTCACAGGCCCGAACCGCGCCCAGGGCCATGGCCAGTGGTACCTTCTGGTTGGCCTCCCAGTGGCCGCCGTCCTGCTGCTCCTGCTCCTGCTCCTGTTCCTGCTCATCAAAAACAGTGCGTCCTTCAGAGAGGGAGGGAGCCGGGCAGAGGCCCCTGTGGGGCATCCTGCGGGGAACCGGGAGGGGCACTTGGGGGGGGAGGGGGCCCCAGGCTGCGGGCGTGGGCCGCTGGGCTGGCCCAGGCTGCGACTGCGGTAACTTCCTTCTGTGTTATTGTCAGTCCTCAGCCAAGGATATTTTTTTCATTGATTTTTAGAGAGTGGAAGGAGGGAGGAGACAGAGAGAGAGAGACATCGATTGGTTGCCTCCAGCGTGCACCCCAACCAGGACCCGGGACTGAACCTGCCACCCAGGTACCTGCACTTGAACGGAAATTTGTGCCGGCGGGTGCTCTCACCGCTGAGTCACCCTGGCCGAGGAAACTTTCTCTTTTTTTTTATTGATTTTGAGAGGAAGAGAGAAATAATAAACATCGACGTGTTTCCCACCTATCGACGCGTCATTGGTTGCTTCTTGTATGTGCCTTGACCGGGGATCGAACCCACGACCTTGGCGTAGGGGGACGATGCCCTCACCAACTGAGCCGCCCGGCCAGGGCCCTGTGATAACTTTCGGAGCCACGACTTCTGCCTGTGACATCAGAGGACAGGGATGGGGACACCTGCAACAGCCTCTCTGCAAACATAACCCCTCTGGCTCCGTCCATCCTGGCTGCTGTCACAGAAAACCGTCGAGCTGGCGGCTCAGGTGGCGTTCGCTCCTCTCAGCTCTGACGGCCGGGAGGTCCTCGGCCAAGGCTCCTGGTGGGGTCCTCACGAGGTGCCAGAGAGAAGCAGCCGGAGCTCTGGCCTTTTCTTAGGGGCCCATGATGAGAATTCCACCCTCTGGCCTCCCCTAAACCTGTCACCTCCCAGCGGCACGGCCTTCCAGTGCCACCACATGGGGGTAGGGCTTCAGCATGTGTATTTCGGGGATTCAGACATGCGGCCTTCGCCCTGGCCGGGTGGCCCAGCTGGTGGGAGCGCAGCTCTGTGCACCAAAAGGTCGTGGGTTCAGTTCCCAGTCGGGACGCGTACCTAGGCTGTGGGTTCGATCCCAGGTCGGGTGCATATTGGGAAGCAACTAATAGATGTTTCTCTCTCACTCTCACTCTCTCCCTTCCTCGCTCTCTCTCTCTCTAGAATCAATTAAAAAAAAAAAAGCAAACACATCCTTCAGTGAGGATTGAAAAAAGAATTTTTAATAAAACATGCAGCCCTGCGGGGCCTGCGGGGCTCAGTGGTTGAGCGTCAACCTATGAACCAGGAGGTCGCAGTTCGATTCCCGGTCAGGGCACACGCCCCGGATTTCGGGCTCGATCCCAGGAAGGGGCGTGCAGGAGGCAGCCGATCAGTGACTCTCTCTCATCATTGATGTTTCTGTCTCTCTTCCTCTCTCTGAAATAAATAGAAAAACATATTCAAAAATAAAGTAAAATAAAATATGCCGTCCCTAACAACTGCTCCTTCCCCCCCCCAGAAGCTGCCAAGACAAAGAGACAGCCACAGGCCTCCAATCCCATGAGCGGGCGGGTAAGCGTTCCCTCCCCTACCCTGCCCCCCCACAACCCCTTGTCCCCAGCATCACCCCACCATGTCCTATCCCCCCTTCCTTCCTCAGGCCTCTGAAGCTAGAGACCAGCAGGATGTCACCTATCTCCAGGTGACCTTCAATGTCCCCACCCAGGGGTCGGCTGCGACACCCTCCTCGCTGCCCCGGGAGGCCCAGACCAGCGAGTATGCCACAGTCGCCCCGAGATGAGCCAGGCTCTGGGCAGAAAGACTCGGATCTTCCTCCTCTGAAGGTTCCCTCCCCCGGCAGCCCTGCTCCTAAATCTGAGGCTGTCCCTCGCCGCAGGGACCCATGTTACCCCAAAGGCCCCGCTGCCCCCTGAAACTGAAGACCTGGAGATTATCACCCAGGCAGTTCCAGAAGCTCCACGGGGGTCTCCAGGGAGCTCTGTCTCAGGGCCTTTCGCACTGAAGTTCCCGGGACCCTCCGGAGTTACTGGGACAATGACAGAGCGATTTTTATGTTTTCATTGATTAAACAAATATACTGAAATCCTTGCGGGTGCCAGGTTTTATGTTACAGCCTAGACACACAGAAAAAATCCTAAAACCATTCTCCCTTGTCACAAATTGGTGGACTAGCCCTGGCTGGGTGGCTCAGGTGACTGGAGCACTGTCCTGTGCACCAAAGGTTTTGGGTTCGATCCCCAGTCAGGGCACATGCGGGAGGCAACCAATCGGTGTTTCTCTCTCCCTCCCTTCCCCTCTCTAAGATCTATCTGATGATAGATGATAGATGATAGATAGATAGATAGATAGATAGATAGATAGATAGATAGATAGATATAATATATATAATGTGTATATATAATGTGGTCTAGTGCAGGCTCAGCAAATTATCACCCACGCGCAGGCCAAACTTGGCGAGCCACAGGTTTTTACACAGCCCCACATCTTCATTTTTTTCTTTGCATTTTCAGTGGTAAAATATATAAGATGTCCATGAAAGAAGCGTTCAGACTAGTGCCACGGGTTTCGTCGGGTATGTGAGGTGCCAGGCGGGCGCTGGAACTGTCAAGGGGACACTTTGTAAAGCGTACGGCCCTGCGACCACTGTGCGGCCCGCCTGAACCTGACATAAAGTAATATTGAAAGCAAGCTGTCGCTGGAGGATCTCACACCCTCCTGCTCCCAGGGACAAACCGGAATTACAGCGAAATTAAAGAACAATCCCCCAAATAACCAGCCGAAGGCCAGCCGAGAAGGACTCTTATAACCGAGGACTTACGGAAGAGGCCACACGGCGACTGGTAGGAAGGGCGGAGACACGGCAGGGCCGGCCCTGCTCCAGAAACATAAAAAATGAAATGAAAAAACAGAAAAAGGGGTTGGGGTGAAGGGGAGTGCTGGCTGGAGCCGTGATGCATCCGGACGTATCTGAGACAGTCTCCCCGGAGACCGCAGTGGAGTCGGGACCGAAAGGGACTGAGGGGACGGGAGACCATTGGCCGGCGCGGGAAAGAAGCCGGGTCAGAGGAGGTCAGGCCTGAGCCCTCATTAGGCCACAAGCATGGACGGAAAGCAGGTCTTACAGCTGCCCGGGGCTGCGGCAGCCGGCCTGCCTTGTGGTGGAGTCAGAAGGGGAAGTTGGGGCTCTTCCTGGAGCTTGCCCGCGCCTCCCCCGCCCCCCAAGCCCCAAGGGCC